TGGGCCCAAGCCTGACTGTCCAGTGGCCTCTGGAGGATGACAACCACCAAGTCGCCAAGAGGGAACAGGCGGAGGGACAACACCCTTTCCTCCCTGGGGTGGCCCGGCGACAGTAACGTACTGTGGAGTCCGGATGCATTTCTGCCAAAAGCCACTGGGTTTTGAGATTTGTTTCTGAGTCTCTGGGATCATGGCCATTAAGCAGCTTGATCAGGAGCCAGAGAGGCCATTCGTGGGCGATGACTTGGGGTCTTGTTGGGGTGGGGAGGACAAGCCCGGCTCCACCCCCATCCCGTGAGGCCCTGTGTGTCTTGTCACTGGGGGCCCAAATGTGACTATCCAGTGGCCTCAGATGAATGGCGGCCACTGGGCCGCCAGGGGGAACAGGCCAAGGCACGAAACCTATTCCCACCTGGGTTGGCCCAGCACCGGTAGCCTACTGCAGAGACCAGACGCATTTCTTCCTAAAGCCACTGGGTTCTGAGTTTCGTTTCTGAGTCTCTGGGATCATGTCCATTAAGCGGTTCAATCAGGAACCAAAGAGGCCTTGCCTCCAATTATATAGCTGAGCCGGAGGTGGTTTGTGGGTGTGTTTCCCACATACCTAACTTTTGGCCATTTACTTTCTTGGTAAACTTTGCCCCAAGTTTTTGGAGTCTAGCCAAAGGCACAGCAGCAATTTGGGGGTATCTGGAAGTCTGAAGGCGCCATGAGGCTGCTGATGCACTCGCCTCACAGGTACAGATTGACCTGCTGGCGGCACCATACCCCCAAACACGGTCTTTTTCACTGTATTTTGATAGCGGTTCAACTGTGTTTCTAGTTGATTGCAGATAGTTTATAAATACATAGCATTCTCACTGAAGATGTTGCAGAGCTGTGTAGTATTGTTGGAAGAACTTGGAATCAGATGGTTGTAGAATTGAGAGTCAGTTCCATTTATAAACTCTGAATGTAAGTTGCTTCACTCCTTTGAGCTTGCTTTCCTTAGATGAGGTGAGCTGAGAGGAGCCTTGCTCCCTGGCCTGAAACTGGAATAGAATTAATAATAAAGTGTTTGGCACTTGAGCATAGCATTCATGTTTTGACCATCTCTCCCCTGTTGAGGAAGAACTGTTCTGCTTCCTAAGCCAGGGGGTTTCTCAGGGAAGAGCTTTTGAATAAAATCTTGGGGGTGAAGCTGAAGATGATGGGTTTCAGAAATGGCTGAGGAATAGCTTTCGCCTCCCCTGCGGTCCTGGGCGTGTTGCCCTCCGTTGGTTTGATTCTCTGTGAGGCCCCTGCTGGCTGGACAGTATCAGATAAAGCGATTCTCTGCCCACTCGCCCTGTCTTGCTCTCTCTCCCTAGCCCGGTTGACTCCATGCTCCCTGCAGCGCTCCTTTCCTGACTTGATAGCACTGGGTTGTCTCTCCTGACTCATTAATTTGGCCTATTACCTCTGGACTTTTGCTCACCCTAAGGGAAGATTTCTCTGTTTTATGAAGTCAGCTTCCCTTGCCCTCATGTTGTGTATATTCTCATGAAGTAAATACTTTCAGAATCTCATGTGGCCCAAACCAGCCTCACCAAAGCTGGGTGTTGCCATGCTTCCTTTTATTCTGAAGCTGTTCATGCTCTTGTCCGTGGCTGTCCCCAGCCATCCAGGGTGCCATTCCGTCTGACAGTCTTGTCTATTCACTTCTGGCACTGCATGCTCCCTGCTCAGGCCGTGCTGCCTCCTGGGACAGTTTTTCCTGGATAGGTTCCCTCTTTCCTGGGTCTTGAGTCCCTGGGTTTGAAACAGCTGCTCCCCCATGGTCTTTCAGGCCTGGCGGATGGCCCCCAGGCTGAATGGTGCCTGCAGCCCTCCTGCCCTCCTGCCTTCCTGCCCACGAGTCCTGACTGCAGCTTGTCCCCCCTTGAGTGTGGATTGCCTGATGGGGGTCTCTGCTCGTTCATCACAGCACCACCCCAGCCTCTCATTGACACCTCTCCTTTTCTCCCCTCTCTCCACTTCCTCTTTTGTGTAGTTTACTGAGAAAGGCTTGGTTGGCGGTGAACGTCAGGAGATCCACAGGTCTGGAAGGACCGCCCTTCTAACTGCAGGATAGTTCTGGAATGATTCTGCCTGGGTTGGACATTCTCCCCCATCAGCACTTGGAGCCCAGTGTGGGAGGAGGGCTGGGCCACATCCTCTGGGGAGGTGGGACTCCCTCGATGCCAGACCTCTGATTGCTGCTCCCCTTCTCTGACAGGTGCCTGGGACTGCCAGTTCCTGGGTTTCTGGAACATTCCACTGTGTCAGTGAGGGGGCTGACAACCTGACAATCGAGTCTCAGTTTCAGCTTCCTTGGCTGCTTCACCTGCCTCAGTGGCGTATCTGGTCTGCATCCCTCCTGCCCTGTCCTTGTGGGTCTGTCTGAAATGTGAAATCAGGTTTCTTTGGCTTTGTTCAATGTGACAGTTTAGCGCGATGCATCATTTCCTTTCACACTGCCACCGAAATACGTGGATGTTAGAAATGAAATGATTGTTCTGTTGCCGGTAAAACAATTTGTGTCTTGAGCTCAAGGGTCCACACCTGTTGCTTTCCCATGTTTTCCCTCTGTATCACTCCTTACAATGAGAAGGTACCAAGGTCACACCATACCGGGTCTCAGTGCAGTTCCAGAATCAGAAACATCTCTCTTGTCCCAGGTGTTCCTATAGTGACTCCTGAGAAATATTTGCCCATTTGGAGACGCAGGTTCTTGGGTTGGTGCACACTGGAACTCTGGAGACTTGTCACAACAGGTCACTGGGCCAGCCCCACCCTGAGAGTTTGAGTCTATCTGGAATGGAGCCCAATTTTGAATTTTCTTAAAGTGAAATTGAAGCCAATGCTGCGGCCCAGAGACCACACTTGGAGGACGCTATGAATGCTTTTTTCAACAAAGGTAATACCCTTTCCAACCCCAGGTCACGCTTTACATCACATCGTCACATCGGACATCTGTGACTGCCCTCCTTACCTTGAGGTCAGGACAAGCATGGAGGCCCTCTGGCTTCAGCGTTTGGGTTACCAGTTCCTGCCCCTGGGGGCCACCTTCCTTCCTTTGTTTCTGAGACCTTGGACTCACATTATGATTCTCCCTGTCTTTGCACCTGCCCATTTTCTGTGACCTTGCCACTCACTAGGCAGGTGGAGTCAGTATATGGGTGGGCAGATGGAAAGACCCTGCCTGGTTGTGGGTCCCCTGCGGTCTGCTCTAGTTGGGAGCACAGGGACTGCCTGGGGGACGCGGTGTCAAATGTGAAGGACAGACTACGAAGTCTCTGGAACCACGAATGCTCATGCCGGGTGCACCTCCCGGACAGCAGGAAGCACCGTACCTGGCGCACCGGGCAGTACAGAGCTGTCGCTCCTCCATGGATCTCTGCTTCTTGGAATCCGCGTTTTCTCTTGGTTGAGGCACTTACCTGGGTTGGGTCGAGGAGAGCAAGCGGCCTTTATCCAGCTGGGTGACTGCCCAGCGGCAGCAGAACGGGGTTGGCGTGGCGGCTTAAACATCGGACCAAGTGACCGGTCTGGTCTGTGCACTTCTGGGGAATGTCACGAGTGACCTTCCCACTTCCTTGCTCTGACAGTGTCATGAAAGGTATTGGGGCTGTCAGGCTGTGGGCTGGGAACAGCCCTGACTGCATCGCACTCCAGGCTGCTCTGACTTGGCAGGCCCACGCTGTGCTCTGCTCCCCTCTGCCGTCCGCATGCCTTGCTTGGTTCTCTGGCCCCAAGAAGATGTGTTGGCCGGTCCACCCTGCTTTCTGGCGCACTGCCCTGCTGTGACAGTAGGACTTTCAGGACTCTGGTGGCTGTCATTAGTTGGTTGTCATTAGCTCAGCAGAATTTTATACAAGTGACCTCCCATAGTCCCGCCAATGTCCTCTATATCTTTTCTCTTAAAAATTGCTTGATTTCTATCCCTGGCCCCACATAAAGTCCCCTGGACACCACCAGGATTGACTCCTGAGCACAAGAGCCAGGAGTAAGGCCTGAGCACCGCCTTGCATCAGCAGCAACAAAAACTGTTCTAAAGAGGGTGAATAGGCCTCCTGGAGATGACATGTTTTTTTACCAGATGTCATGGGTTCTGATCCTACAAATGGGCTCATGAGGTCAGAGTTGGAAAAAGCCGGGACTTACAGAAAAGCAGTACCAGGTGCACCGTTTTCAGTATTTGCAGATTGAAGGAAGAAGTCTTGGTGGAATGTGGATTGTATTCATGCCACAAGGTGGTGGTGTTGCACCATGGAATCAGAGACTCATTTTCGGTTTCTCTCACAGGTCTGTCTAAATCCCATGAGTAAATTGAGTGGACTGCATGGTGTGGCTCTTGACCCACCTCAGTTATTTATAGGTTTAGCATGCAGTTTCTGACCCACATAAAGAACATTTGGTTCAAATTTTTTTATCAATGTTAATAAGATAACATCTGTACAGGTTAACATAATGCCTGGTTGCTCTCCTTTTCTCTCCTTTAGTTTATTCTAGGGGTCTTTAGCTAGAGAGATAGTACAGGAGGTTTACTACCTGGAGATACTGGGGTGCTCCCTGAACAGTGCTTGAGCGGCACCCTGAGAAGTCAGAAATAAGCCCTGGCAGGTGTAGCCAAGGGGGCCCTCCTTCAAATTTCTGTTTGTGTAAAAGGTGGTTTTTTTTTTTTTAAATAACATCCCTGAACACTAAGTAATATTCTAAATTCATTTTGATTATGAGATTTTAAAAATTGACATATAATTATATTTTCTCAGTTCATGAAAAGAAAGGAAAATTTGTTTGTGGGGAGAGGGGGTGTTAAATATTTCGTTAGCCTATAATTTTTAACTTCATCTTTGTGTGTATGTGTTTGGTGTAGAAGTAAAGCCACTCTCCAGTTTGTCTGGGCCCATTTCTGCCGGAAGCAGTGCTGGTCAGCTTGGGAGTTTGGCCTTTCTCTGAGTTAAACTGATGTGTTTCTTCTGCGCTTTCCTCCTCTGCAGAGCACAGGAAACTCAGAAGAGGGCCCCAGCTGGAAGATCTTGCGGGACGACTTCATGATGGGCAGCACCATGAAGGACTGGGATCGGGAGAGCGACGGGCCCGCTGCAAGTGACCCCGACACCTGAGCCCTCAGGACACTGAGCTTCCGGTCCTGTCCTCCAGGGACTGGGCATGCTGCTGTGACAGCAAGAAAGCCCGAGGCTTTGCGGTTCAGGCCCCACTGTAATGTTTTGGACATTTTAAACATTATTCCTCAACATGTTTGTGAAAAGAAACATTTCTGTATGACTGAAGAAATAGGTATTTAGTTGGACTGTTACAGATTGGCATACTGGTGATAGATGTTGAGGTTTGGTTCTATATTGCCTATTTCTGGAAATGCATATGGGAAAATGAACTTGAAGTTCCTATTTTTCCACCATCTAACTTAGAGACTTACAGAATTTTCCTTCAGATGCTAAGTTTTAGATATACATATATATATATGTGCATGTGTATACATATGTATGTATATGCACACATATGGAGATACAGAAATACCAACCTTTGTTAAGTTATTTTTGTATAAGAGATTTACTAAGACAAAGTTCTTGTATTTGTTTTGCCAACAAGGCATACATATTTTTTTAGGAAGCATGTGGAATATTTGTCAAGCTAAAATTCTTTTATGGGCTGGCAGACCCCTAAGACAGTGCCGTTAGGCAGCTGGTCATTCGCATCAGAACATAGCATCTGATTTGAAACTTCATTCCTGAATGTTGCCTCAGAGATTGTTCCAAAAAATGGGGCAAATTTTCATGTGAAATTGTTAAAAAAAAAAAGGAAGAGAAGAAAAGCACTGGATGAGCCCCAAGTTTCAGTAAAACTGAGCCCGAGATTTGTTGAAGGTAGGGGAGTGGTTTAATAAATGTGATCTGTTTCGTTCCTTAAGGGTCCGTTCCTCTCATCTTTCCATAATGAAAAGACTCGCTCTTTCTCCCCAGTACTTGCAACATACTTGCATCTGTTAGGGATCAAAGAATTATTCTCCCCCCCTCAGGACTGTGCTGTGTAGAGATGTTTGTATTTTCAGATCCTTTTGAGTGTTACAAGTATTACATAATGAAAGCTAAATTAGTCCAGCAGCTGGTACTTGATACCATAAAAGAAGGGACATACTTAAAATAACAATCTACTAAACCAGAGAAGATCAAAATTCAATTTTCATATTCCAAATTTTCAGCTTTTGTGATTTATAAAATTATAGAACTACCATTATGTCAATGTAATGAAAATAAAACATGAAAAAGCAAATTTTAGTAGTAACATAAGTGTGCAAAATTTTCCAACTGAGCTATCATTCTAATATTAATATTTAATAAGTAGCACTGTAGCACAGTCCTCCCATTGTTAATTGATTTGCTTGAGTGGGCACCAGTAACATCTCTTCTGTGAGACTTGTTACTGTTTTTGGGATATTGAATATGCCATGGGGAGCTTGCCAGGCTTTGCCATGCGGGCGGGATACTCTCAGTAGCTTGCCAGACTCTCCGAGAGGGATGGAGGAATCGAACCCGGGTTGGCAGCATGCAGGGCAAACACCCTCCCCACTGTGCTATTGCTCCAGCCCAAATATAACAAATATTTTCAATAGAAGATGAAAAATTACCTGAACACCTAAATCCTTTTTCTCCCCAGAAATTAAATCTATAATAAAAATAGCAGAATTGCCAGTCTGAACATATTATAAAAATAGCAGAATTATCAGCCTGTACATATTGGTGGGGGAGTCATTCAAAGAATACAGAAGTACCAGCTGCTTTATCATTTGGTCTGCTCTCTCATCCATGGAAGTAATGATTTCCTTGGAATATTCTCTTACTGATGCCTCTGTAGGCTGTAATGACTCCTTTGCTATATGTTGATACATGTGAGTCACTCGAATTTCATTTTCTAAACACTTGGAAATCAGGAGTGTGTGGACCACCAATAGGCTATGTCTTCTCTTGAGAGATCTTCTCTCACTCTCTTCATAAGGGGTACCAGTCTCCCCACAAAGGGCTGCCCCTCAGATACCAGTGTATGTGCATAGGGAGGGGGTGAGAGAAACGTTGAGTCCAACAGCAGTGGAGGAAATAGCCAGCTGGACATGCTTGGCCCAGCTATGAAACAACTTGCGCTGCTATTGTAACATTTCTGAATAAAATTGGAGTAGAAATTTAATGGACCAACTTAGGCAGCTTTAAGTGGGCATGGCATCCCAATAGTGGCTCACATTATTTGGGTGATGATATTGTTTATGATGAGATAATCTCTTTACTCCTTCAAAGACAGAAAAAGTTAAGCTCTTTCCAAAGCACAACTGCAGTAAGTTCTTACTGATTTATTTGAATAGTGTAAAGATGGGCTGGAGCGATAGCACAGCGGGTAGGGCGTTTGCCTTGCACGCAGCCAACATGGCCAACCCGAGTTCGATTCCTCTGCCCCTCTCAGAGAGCCTGGCAAGCTACCGAGAGTATCTCGCCCGCACGGCAGAGCCTGGCAAGCTACCCGTGATGTATTTGATATGCCAAACACAGTAACAACAAAGTCTCCAATGGAGACGTTACTGGGCCCGCTCGAGCAAATCGACGAACAACGAGAGGACAGTGACAGTGACAGTGTGAAGATAGGGTTTAATGGCAGTTACCTGAAATAAAGCAGCGAGCTGTCAGATTTGAAATGTCTGTTAAAAAATAACCTTTAAGGAACTTAAAAAACAAAACCTATTTTAAGTACATAAACTTTGAATTAAAAAAATTTACTATTTTTTACTTTTTTTAAAAAACTTACCTTTTATGGAGCAATAGAACAGCAGTTAGGGCACTAACTAAATTTTGGAATCAAGTGTACCTTTCATGAGACAGCCAGGTTCGATCCCCAGCATCACATAAGATCACCTGAACCCCTCAGTCAGGAGTGATTTCTCAGTACAGAACCAGGACTAAACCGTGTGCCCCTTCCCCCCCCCCCCCCCCCACACACACACACAAAAAGATAACCTTAAAGAACTATTACAATGGAATAGATTTAGATTAATGGGCATGCTATTGTGATGTTAAGCCTGTTTTTATTGGGGAGCAGAGTTGAAGGAAACAAAACTTACTCTGCTCTTTCCTTAACTTTGCGTAGGAGAATCAGAATGATTTTTGTCTCCACTTGGTATGTTAGTGATAGGTACTGTCTTTTAAGCCCTGCTTAAATGGGCTTTTAGTTTTCTGATAAATGTTCTTAGGTTTTCACCCCAAGAGGCTTATTAGAAGAGTCGGGAGAGTTTCTTGTATGACGGACTCTGATGGAACTTATTTCCCCATTATCCAATATGGCAGCACTGTGACAATAGAAGGTCCATGTGGCCATTGACACAAAGGAACTGAATTCCTCCTTCCTCATTTTCATTACTTGGAGATTCACCGTCTACAGCTGGCTTGTGATGGCCTAGTCAACTATGAAGAGAATTGAGGTATAGAGCATATTTAGCCCAATAAAACAATAAATTTGGAATCAAGCGTACCTTGTGTTTTCCCCATAACTTTTATGAATAGATTTTAGACATATAAACATCCAGGTGCAATTTTGTTGATGGAATGTTGGTTCCTTTTCCACAGTATGTTTTGAAAGAGAGATACTAACTCACTTTCCCCCATATTACTTACAAGGTAGATTGTGTCCTCAAATTATGTTGCTCTTAATTGCAAATGGCACCCAAAGAAATTCCAGCCCTCTGTTAATTACAAATGGCACTTGAATTTTTAGCAACAAGGGCCTGCATAGACCAAACAAGGCCTGAATAGGCCTTTTAGCAACAAGGGCCTGAATAGACCCTTACAAACATGGCATCTTACTGCTGTGTTCTTGAGAAAACAAAGGCTGAGGATACCCGGGACAGAAGATGAGAACTACCAGAGCAACAGATCTGTTGCCAGCTCTTAGCACCCTGGGCTTTGGACGTATCAGGGAAGCCTCCTTACTCTGTTGTGAGACGGTCGGAGTTTCCAGCAGCCCTAGCCTGCTCCAGCTCAGGCTGGACATCCTGCCAGAGCAAATGGAGGTTGGGGGAGGGGGTCAGCAAACAAAGGAGCAAAATGACCGTTATTAATACAGCCAGTTTACAATGATGAGGTGTTAACCACATTCCTATAAATAGCAGTTTCTCTAACCTCTGAATTAGGAGCCTGTCTTTTATGCAGTTCAGAAACATCAAAGCAGGCACACCGAGTTTGTGCGGGGGTGAGGTCCAGCCTGGGCTCTCTGCAGAGACAGCTGAGCCTCACCCTTCCTCGTGGGTGGCCTCACAGCTGTTGCTTTCACCCCATGGCCACTAGACAGTTGCCACTCTGACTGGGAGTCAGACTCCAGTCCCTGCAATAATGCATCCCCTCCCACGGCGCGGACATAAACAGTGGATCGACATCAGCTCTCAAAACACCAGTAAGGCAGCCAGACCCAGCGGTTCCCCTGAAATGCCGAGGAGTAAGTACCAAGCATAACATCAGGGCTGTTTCTACATAATATTTGTCTTTGTACAGTAACACTGGGCTCCCTGAAGTGTACTGTAAACATGAAAAGCTCAGAAGGGTTCAAGGTGATATCCTTTCCTAGAAATGGCAGAGGCCTAGGGGTCACCCATGGCCGATCACACAACTGTCGTGGATTGCCCTTCGCGCTCTGCCATATGTATGTGCCTATGGATCAGGGAGATGATAGTGCTGGCAGATGTGTTTAGAAACATCGTGTGCATTGTTGGGGTGCCAGGGCACAGTTTTGGCATTGGCTGAGCTTTAGCGGGTGTGTCTGTGCTACAAATCCCCTGTCAAAGGCACCCCAGCAGAGTGAGCTGAGATACCTGCCCTTATAATGATGTCTGTCTGAAGCCTGAAGCCTATTGTCTGAAGCCTATTGTCCAGCTGTCTGGAACCTATTGTCCAGTGCCTGGTGATGGGATTTCATCCTCTCTTAGGCACTTGGATGAAAGTGAAAGGGTGAAAGCGCATCCAGTGTGGACTTGCCATTTGTTTCTGATTGATTGTAAAGGTCCGTCTTCTGGACCATGTCTGCCCCACAGCGCACACACGTTTAAAGGCTGGAAGATAGCAGATACTTAAGACTAGTAATTCTGCTTCTGGAAACCCTCCTGATCTCTTTCTACCTCTCCCTCTCCCTTTCCTTCTCCCTCTCTCTTCTCTCTCTCTATCTCTCTCGTCCCTCCCTCCCTCTCTCCCCTCCCTTTCCTTCTCTTTCTCCCTCTCCCTGCCTCCTTCTCTTTATTCCCCTCAACCCCTCCCCCCCCACACACACACACTTTGGAAATAGTTCTATAGTTTTGTTGGGTTTTGTCACTGTGGTTTTTTGGTTTTTGTTTGACATCAGGAATCCAGAATCTCAAACAGAGTGTGTACTCTACCCCAAAGCTCACATCCTTGCCCGCTCATGGCAAGAAATTTCAGACAACCTGCAAGTGCTGTCACAGAAGCACATTTCCAGAAGTGCTAGCCCTTCCACTTTTTAAAATGATGTTCCAGGCTATGTTTGTGCCAGAGCACTTGCGCTTCTTCTGTGCAGCCCTGGGTTCTGCTCCCGGCACCCCCTAAGATAAAATGCAGACCGGGACAGCACAGTAGCCAATAAAACATTCATTAAAGATATAAGATTAAAAATGGAATGTGAGAATCCCAAGAGAGGCTAGAGCAATAGTTGAGATAGTGTGACTGGCAGGGTGCTTTTTCTGCACGTAGTGGCTCAGATTCAATCCCCAGTACCAGATCTGGTCCCCTGATCACACCAGGCATGATCCCTGAGCATAGAACCAAGAGCAAGCCCTGATCACTACAGGATGTGGCCCCCAAACATAAAAATAAATAAAGTAAAATAAAAATTTTAAGTGTCAACAACTTATTTGGTACAAATAAAACTATTCTTTCTTAAGAAAATAAGTTTGCTGGTGCTAGAGCAATAGCACAGCAGTAAGGCGTTTGCTTTGCACAGCAGCCAACCCAGGTTCAATTCCCAGCATCCCATATGGTCCCCCGAGCACCGCCAGGAGTAATTCCTGAGTGCAGAGCCGGAGTAACCCCTGTGCATAGCCGGGTGTGGCCCAAAAAGCAGAGAAAAAAAAAAGAAAGAAAAGAAGTTTGCTGAACTGGAAGGATAATTCTCATGCTGATCCTGACATTCATTGAGGCTTTTTGCATCATTAGACAATCCTGAACCTAAACTCTACATCTTACCAGAACACTCTGAAAATAGAGAGGGTGATGCAATAGATGTCTGTGTGCAGAGTACTGGTT